TTTGGAGAGTAATTTTTTCCGAGACTTCTCAATTCTTACTTTTTATTAGAAAATAAAAAATAAAAATGCGCCGACAATAGTCTATTGAAGTTGTAATTAAAAAAGTAAAGTACATAAAGTTCCGAAAAAAAAAAGGATTTATGAGAATCTCATTTTAATCCATTAATGTATGCAATTAATGAAGAAGCAATTTAATTTTTGCAATCAATAATAAATCTACTGAAGAATGAAAATAATCAAAAGTAACAAAGGGGTATAGCAAAAGTAATGTCCAATCAACAGTGGAAGAAGTAATTTAATTTGTTTATAGATTTGTTATTGATTGCAAAAGTAAGAAAGGTATAGCGCCACTTATTGTGGCACTATACCTGGACCATGTCAGCTTTTGCAGTATAGCGCCACAATAAATGGCGCTATACATTAACGGTGCATTTACCGTTAATGTATAGCGCCAGGTATTGTGGCACTATATATAAAAATGTAACTTTTTTTTTTACCACTATTTGTGTACTTTGAGTCCAAAAAGAACCACATTTTGATTCCGGACTCTACGCAGGTGGAGTCAGAAATTTAATTTTTGAGTTCTCCTTTTAAATTGTTGATAACTTTTATGAGTTTTTTAAATTTAGTATTTTTACATATTTTATGTTTATTAACAGATTACACTATGTGAATAAAAACGATAGTTCAGCTGTATCCATACTTAAACTTTAGCTCTACCCTTTCTGTAGAAACCAGGGGCAGACCTACAGTGTCGATGCGAGTTCGGCCAAACTAATAAACTTTTGTTCATACTTTATATATTTTTTTTAAAATCCATTGAATATATATAAATAAAAAATATTAATTAGAACGCTATAACTTAAAAGGATTACAAACGTCAAACCCATAAATTTCAAATCCTGACTCCGACGTCTATTAATTCCACTTCTTCTTGAATTCATATTGTAAATTCCATTAGGCTTTACAATGATGCAAAATCTAATTGAAAATTGAAATAAAGGCAAATATTTCGGTACATGCAATTTAACCAGCACATAGGATACAAATACAATGATCACTAAATTAATGAAACTATTATTAAAGACGAGTTGCATTAATCAAGGATATTGTAACTGAAATTACAATTATTCAACTTCATTGAGTGGTAAATCATATGTTGAGCTGTATTACAATTATTAAACCGCAGGTATTATTGTGCTCATTTAAACCAACTAACAAGCAATCATTAAAAATCTTTGTATTAAAAAAATTCTTGGAACTTGAGGAGTCTCTGAACCCCTCTTCCCACAACCTATGCAGTATTCCTCCGGTTTCACAATAAGTGACAATTTAATTTTTTTATTTTAGTCAAATAAGTGTCCATTTTATAATCAAGAAAATATTCAATTTGTTTTCCAAAATTACCGTTATGCTACGGGATCCTAAAAAGTCTTTTACTCATCACATTAAATTATTGCTGCAATTATTTAATTAAGGATAGTTTAATCACACTAAATTTTTTGTCAAAATTTAGTATTTCCTTAATAGGCGTGCCCAAGCACAAATTTGGTCACCTATTATGGATCGATAGGGAGTAGTACAGCTGGTATCACTCCCCGTTTATTTTTAGTTGGTCCACTTTGATTTTTTTGCACTTCCTAAAAAATGAAATATGTATTTTATAATTTTACTCATAATAATAATAATAATAACACTTTAAAAAGTATTAAAAAATAATATTGGGGAATGAGTAGTTAACTGATAAGCAATAAAACAGAAACAAATATTATATTTTTTTTGATTTGTAAATAGACAAGTAAAAAGTTAAAATGTAATTTTAGTGATAGTGGACAAGTAAAAGTGAATGGAGAAGTACTACTGGTATAAATATTTCTTCTTTTTACTTGCGAAAATTAAATAAAAGTAGATTTTTGTGACTTAAAAAGCATGCAACAAAAGTAAATAGGTTAATTATTACATATAAAATATGTTATTCTCTTAAAAACAAAAAGAAAATATAGGACACAAAAATAGGTAATGAGATGTGTGTACATATATTCAAATCAAGTGAGAGAAAAAGTCTGAAAGTTGAATTTAAATAAAATTAATCAAATATCGATTAGAGTCTTTGGTACATTGAAATCGATAAGAATAAGGATGCATGCAAAAAAATTCAATATAAGTCAATTTTCAGTGTTAGTGTCGCTTTTTTCTTTATTAATTTCAAGTAGTTATTAGAGATTCCCACATTCTAATGTAAGATATATAGTAACTCTTCCGATCCACTTTAAGTGAATTTTTTGCTATTTTTACACATATTGAAAGATTCACCTTTTGCACTAATTAACAATGAAAT